CATTTCTTTTTAAACTTCTGTAGTTTTCTTTATACAGGGCTTTCATCTATTCTGTTAGATTGATTTCCAAACATTTCTTTTTTTGAGGATATTGTGGATAGGGATGTTTCTCAAGTTTCTTTTTCAGTGGATTCATCACTGATTTATCAGAATGCATTTGATGTATGTGTTAATTTTGTCTCCTGTAACTTTGCTCAGTTCATCTACTAGTCCCAGAAATTTTTTGATGGAATCTTCTAGACCTTCTAAACAGTTAAGCATGTCATCTGTAAATAGTGATACTTTGAGTTCTTTTTTTCCTATTCATATTCCTTTAAATTTTTCCTTCTGTCTAATTGCTCTGGCTCAAGTTTCAAGGATGACGTTAAATAAATGTAGTAATTGAGGGTTTTCTGTCTTGTTTCAGTTTCTAGAGGAAATGCTTTCAATATTTCTTCATTTACAATGAACCAGGCCTTGGGTTTAGCTTATATGACTTTACAATATTGGATTATTTTACTATTCTCCCTAGTTTTTCTAGGTTTTTCAACATGAAGATGTGCTGTATTTTGTCAAATGCTTCCTCCACATCTATGGAGATGGTCATGTGATTCTTGTATTTAATTCTATTCATTGGATGAATTGCATTGATTAATTTCAACATGTTGATACAACTTTGCATACCTTGGATGAACTATTCTTGAGCATGGTGCACTGTGTTTTGAATATGTTTTTATATGCCATTTGCTAGAATTTTATTGATCACGTGTGCATCTATGTTGATCAGGTATATTTCTTTTAGAGTAGTTTCTCTCTTTGCTGGATTTATCTTATTTTTCACTTCTTCGTTATGAAATGCAGTATTGACTCTGATTTGTACTTCAGGCTTTCTAGTGGTGAATTCTTTTAACTTTTGTTTATTGTGGAATAATTTTAATTATCTATTAGATAATTATAATTTATCTCTGATTCTGAATCTTAATTTTGCTGGTCATAGTGTTCTTTGCTGGCCTCCATTTTCTTTCAGATATTGGGTTCTATTGAGTGGTGGGTAGTAGGTTTTGAATCCAGGGGTGTCTAAACAGTGAGCTGGATCCCCAGCACTATTTTGTATTTTATTGAGAGACAGGGCCTCAGTGAGTTTCTTAGGGCCTTACTTTTGCTGAGGCTGCTTTGAACTCATGATCTTCCTGCTTCCAACTCCTGATCCACTAGGATTACAAGAATGTGCCCCTGTGGTCTTCTAGATATTGGTATATATAACTTCAAGACCTCCTAGCATTGAGGGTGTATGTTGAGAAATCAGATGGGTTTCCCTCTCAATGGTATGTGTTGCTTTTGTCAGGGAGCCTTGAAAATGTTATTCTTAGTCTGCATGTTAATCATTTTTATGACATTGTGCTTATTTGTGGGTCTTTTGAAATTTTGTATGTTTGGGGTCCTGGAAGCCTGCTGTATATAATTTTCCATTTCATTCTCTTGGTTTGGAACATTACTTGGTTTATCTCTGTTTCTTTGGGTGTGAGTTATTGATCATACCAAGTCAAGACTGATATAATTCTTGGAAGGTCAGTCTAATCTTTGGTGTGTTCAGATACCTACTATGTTTCTGCTGGTTCAGGGAAAATGGTCCCTGATTATCTGTGAGTTAGCAGTCAGATTACTTAGTGTTATGGGGTGCTGTTTTGTGTGTCCTCTTGAAGTAAAGTTCTGATCTGTCAAAGCTACTGTGGGCTCCCTGGTGTGTATTTGGTAATGTGTGGGTTGTAGCACTCTAGTTTATGTGCATGAGTATCCTTAAGCACGTTTTCCCATTTCAGTTGCAAATAATTTCCATCCCTTCCATCCTGTATTTCCTGAACCCTATCTGCTTCTTTTGTGGTCTTTCCTTAATTAAGGAACCTATTTGTTTATTTATTTATTATTAACTTTATTTATTAATTTATGTATGCATTATACTGGTATATAAAAATGAAATACAGTGCGATATTTTCAAGAATGTGGATAGCTTAATTTGTGAACCATGGTTTCATTATTTTTATTCTAGTTTGAATGAATTGATTTCTTGGATTATAATATAGTTTCATTCTGTATTTACAAATTTCTCAACTTTATTTCTAGTTGCATTCTTCAGCATGAAAATCTCTCTATTTTTGTAGTTTTTTAGTTGATAGTTGATTTCATGTTTTTTTTCTTTGTTTGTTTGGCTCTATGTGGATCACTTAGATATTTATTTTGCATTGTTCACGTATCTCACCAATCATAATTTCTTTAGAATTTAAGTCAGGAAATTTATTTAGTTGCCTCCATTTGCCAATTTTCACCATATTCTTTGAATGTTTTTGTTATGTATTTAGAACTTTAGGCATCTGGAGATTTTTTTACACACTTAATAGTAGAACAATTCTTCAAAAATGAACAACACATCTACTGTAGTGATGAATAAAACCAGAACTGAGTTTACCAACTAGGAATGAATTCAGAATGTAGAAGAGATATGTGCACTCCCATGATTGCTGAATGATTATTCACAATGTGAAACATTGAAATTTTATTTGTAAGTATGTATGATAATTAGGAAATGTATAGAGAGAGAGAGAGAGAGAGACATACACTGAAGCACATAGAATGAAACGATATGCCATTATAAGAAAGTGAATTTTATCATTTATGGTAACAGGGACAGACTAAAAGGGTATAAAGCTTAGAGAAGTGAAAAGGCAGAAATAAGAAAATATCTCAAGATCTCAAATTTACGTGGAATGTAATATTAGTGCTGTCATGTCATTTTAGAATACATTAGTGGTAAAGCCTATTGGGTTTGATGGTTTGGGAGATTTCACAGAAAGAATATAAAATGGTAGCATCAAAGTTGGAATAAGATGAAGACAGTTGTATTCCCAGAGCTATCAATACATTTTCAACTTAAAAAATAATAACATAATGAATCTGAAATATTCTATCAAAAAAATGCTATGCAAATATTATGATGGGATATATATAATTATTAAATAGATTCATCACTGCTCAAGTTCCTTTTGCTTTTGAAAAATCAATCTACACCTGGAAAGTGAATATAGTCTTATGTGCCTATTGGAAAACAATTCATTAACCAAAAATATACCTGTTATAATCTAGAAAATTTCTTCATCCACAGGAAAATGACAGCAATCAAAACTAGTAGGGACTTTTGAAACTTTATATCCTGATCACAAGATGTCTCATTAAAATATTTGTGACTGTAATTTTTCATTTTGAAAGGAGTATATCCCTATTGTAAAAGAGTTTGGATGTCAAATGGGTTCTTTTTCTTGTAAATTTGAAGAATAAAATCCATAGTCACAGGGTGAGAGCATAGTAATAGGACTTAATTAGTGAAAGAAAGGAAGAGGAAAAATAAATGTAAGAATAAAAGAAAAAGAGAGAGAGAATAAAAGCTCACAATGTGGGAGCATTCCCAGGAGATGATTTTCAATAGGTGTGTTTTATCTATAGGTTTTGTAAGCTTGATCTTTCATTATAGATGATTGATTAAGTATGGAATTCAGAAAGGGAAACATCACCTCTAATTTGCCTCCTTCCACAAGTCTGTAGAAAAGTGATTTCTAAATTACATCGACAAAGGGAAAAACAGAGGGTCTATTAGCCCAAGAGAATGTACATTGTAGGGTTGATCATTTCTAGGACCTGGTAAGGGGGCTGACATTGTGCTGAGAAATAGCTGCTTCAGGAGCTCGATTTCTCAATCCTCTTTCTTCATTTCTTCTCTGAGACCCTTTTCCTGGATGCCTATTGCTGATCTACATTAAATTCTCATTTTGTCTGAATCAAATTCTCCCAGTGGAATTCTTTCTGTTCCTTTTACAATCGTTTTATCATGTCTGATGTAACTCAAGACATCTTCCAAAATAAACCCATTTTCTTTTGGCACATTGTTCACATATCTCACCAATCACCATTTCTTTAGAATTTAAGTCAGGAAATTTATTTGGTTGCCTCCATTTGGCAATTTTTACCAATTATTCCACAATAAACCCATTTTCTTTTAGCACATTATGTCAGGGACAGATTTTTCAGAAAGCACCCAAGGAGGAAAGAAATTAGATCCAGTTTTTGGGAATTCTCTTTTCATTGTATTCTGCTAATTTTAGGGGAAGTGTCTGTGGTGGGGAAATAGACATAACTCTCCTTCCCCCTTTTGTGGCTTGTTAGAACTGTTGTCACCCGCAGCCTTGAAAATACAATGTCTAGAGTATTCAGTAAGGCAACATGTTCAATGCATACATTTTAAGATTATATATTTATGGAGGAAGGATGCAGTCAAGGTTTTTATTTTTTCATCTTCCTGGTATTCTCATGTTGATAGAATTTTACCCGTTGCATTGCTATGTTCAGGTGAATCCAGTAAGAAGGATACATTCTAACTTTGCTCTCTTTCATTTATGTCTCCCCTCCAAACTACTGGATGGTTACCAGAGGAGAATACACAAGGTTCATTCCAACAAGTGAGAAATAGAAGATATGAAATTAAGAATCTCAAGAATATACAATTCATTAAACAAGAAATTGGGAGAAAGTGTAAAGAGGAGCCAGAATGTCATGGACCTTATCCCTGTGCAGTGGCTCCATCTGAGAGAACTGGGAGAGAAAATGCACATCAAGAATCTTCTCAAAGTAATGACTTTGTGTCAGGAATTTGTGTGGATTCAGATGCTTCTTGGAGTAAGTATGTAGATCCACTTATGAAACATTCCTTCACTGAGAAAAACAACTTAGAAAATCAGCAAGGAAATGTAGCTCATGATGCAAAACATCATTTGAAACATTGTGAATTTGGCTTGAATTGTCATTCAAATATTGCTGGAGATGAGAGATTCCAAAATATGAAAAAAACATCTCAATGGGATTTGAGTGATAATTCGTTCATCAAAAGTTCACTATTTCTGCATCAAGACTTCCTTCAGTTTTGTCCCAATGTCTACAGTTTCGTTAAAATTCAGAGGGCCAATGTCAACACAGTGATGCTTAAGGAAGGAGAACACATTGGTAATTATGAGAAAATTTACATCAATGATGACACTGGCATGGTATTTGCTGATCGATGTAACCTAAGTAAATTGGAGGGAGGTTCTGTGGGACAGGAGAGCCATGAGCACAAGGAATCATGGGAAGACCCTAACCAGGGATCAGATCCACATAACACACAGAGATGTCCTTTAACAAAGAACCATGACAAGTGGGAGAAATGTGCAAAAGTCATCAATGAGTGGGCAAAAGCTCTTACCCATCCTAATGTCCAGAGGAAAGACAGATCTTATGAATGTAAGAAATACGGTGAACTTTTCAATCAGTTCTCAATGTGTACAGAGCATGAGAAAATCAATACCATGGAAATGTCCAATACAAATACAGGTGAAAAATACAGGGAAAGCCCTGATGAGTCACCAAACCAAGTTGGACCTAATACAATATGCACCCAAGAAGATCCATGGAGAATCACGGAATGTGATGAATCACTTCCACCAAGTTTAAATCTTGAACAACAGCAGAACATCCAGAATGAAGAGAAATTTCATGAAATAGAAGATTGTAAAACTTTCTTTAGTAGTTCCTCACATCAAGGGATGAATAAGAGTATCGATGCAGGAGAGAAAACCTACAATTGTAAAGAATGTGGCAAAACCTACATTTCTTCCTCAGAACTGCTTTGTCATCAGAGAGTGCACACTGGAGGGAAACATTACAATTCTGAAGAAAGTAGGAAAGCATATATGTGTTCCACACAACTAGTTCCTCCTCAGCTACTCCATACTGGAGAGAAACCTCACAAATGTAATGAGTGTGCCAAACCTTTCATTTGTTCCTCACATTTAAATGTGCATAAGAGAACACATACAGGAGAGAAATCCTACAAATGTGAAAGTTGTGGAAAGGCTTTTGCTCGTTCCTCATATCTTGCTGTGCATCAGAGAATCCACACTGGAGAGAAACCTCACAGATGTCATGATTGTAGCAAGGCTTTCATTTGTTCCTCAACCTTAAATGTGCATAAGAGAATACATACAGGAGAGAAATCCTACAAGTGTGAAAGTTGTGGAAAGGCTTTTTCTACCTCATCATATCTTGCTGTGCATCAGAAAATCCATACTGGTGAGAAACCTCACAAATGTAATGAGTGTGGCAAAGCTTTCATTTGTTCCTCAACCTTAAATGTGCATAAGAGAATACATACAGGAGAGAAATCCTACAAGTGTGAAAGTTGTGGAAAGGCTTTTTCTAGCTCATCATATCTTGCTGTGCATCAGAGAATCCATACTGGTGAGAAACCCTATAATTGTAAAGATTGTGGGAAAACCTTCATTTCTTCCTCAGGTTTTATAAAGCATCAGAGGATCCACACTGGAGAGAAACATTACAAATGTCAAGCGTGTGGAAAAGCTTTTATTCATTCTTCACAGCTTACAATTCATAAGAAAATCCATACTGGAGAGAAACCTCACAAATGTAATGAGTGTGGCAAAGCTTTCATTCTTTCCTCAACCTTAAATGTGCATAAGAGAATACATACAAGAGAGAAATCCTACAAGTGTGAAAGTTGTGGAAAGGCTTTTGCTCGTTCCTCATCTCTTGCTGTGCATCAGAGAATCCATACTGGTGAGAAACCTTACAAATGCCAAGAGTGTGGAAAATGTTTTATTCAGTCTTCACAGCTTGGTATTCATCAAAGAATCCATACTGGAGAGAAACCCTAGAATTGTAAAGATTGTCACAAAACCTTCATTTCTGACTCAGGATCTCATAGGAATAAGAATATTCACACTGTGTAGAAACTCTACAAATGTGAACATTGTGCAAAGGCATTTACTCATTCCTTACTTTCTGTTGTACATCAGAGGATCCATACTGAAAAATTTTTTAAAGAAGAAAAAAACCCTAGTTGAAGAATGTGGCAAAACATTTCACCACAGTTCTAACTTGAGTGAAATTCTGGAAACACATTCTTTGATATCAAAAAATGTGAAAAATTCTTTAATAAATGCTCACATTTTATGTCAGACAATTCCTACTGATAAGAAAGATTGTAAACATAAAATATGTGAAAAAAAATTTAAATACATTTTCCACCTTATACAAATTACAGAAATTATACTACCTATTTTCATAGAGGAAATGCAGGAGGAAAGGCTTTAGCAAAATGTCCACAGTAGAGATCACAAGAAGTTACATGGGGAAAATAACGCATTTAAATAGAATAAATCAGTGGATCTATTTCAACAAGCAGAAAACTACAATAGCAATGCAAATTTTCGTGCTAGAGATGACTAAGGCAATGTCAACTTCATGCCATATTCTAATCTAGAGTATTATACAGATATATACAAAGTCAACAGTTGCATGATTTTCGCGGGTTTCAAAGGAACAAAGACACAATCTTTTTCTCTATATGTTTATATCAAATAAATCCATTTTTCTCTGTACAATTCTTCTACTTAAAAGTATATGTAATAGACATTAATTTCACCTTCAAATCAGTTCTGACTACAACTTATTTCCTCATAATAATCAATTTGCTGCATTTTAAAGAGTACTTTGCATAGTACAGAGGCACCATTAATATTCATTTTCACTTCTGATTAAGGGAAAGTGTAACGTACATCTAGAACATCCCTAGGTAAGCATGCTTTGTGTTTGAATTGCAGCTGAATGTATGCCAAAATGTAGTTGGAATTCAGAGCATCATTCTTCAGCATAAAACTGAGAAAAGAATATCAGAATTAGTGAAATGAAACATATCATCAATCAAGCCTTAAGGAGAAGACAACTCACTAGTGCATGAAAATATTGGTAAATATTCATAGTGAGGTATGATTCAAGTCTGCCATATTATTGGGTGTAAGGAGAGTTTTCAGTATCTTTACCAGTAACCATGGAAATGTGAAAGTAATGGAGGTAAATGGTTTTAAGTATATTTCATCTTGATATTTCATACCATGGCGGCCTTTTTTAAGGGACAATGAAGAAGTGCAACATCACTATGGCAGAAGAAAATTGATGCTTCCTCATTGCTGGTGAGGTGATATTTCATGAGGCATCATGTGATGGACTTTACAAACCTTTATTTAAAAATCAAACTATAATTTTTTGATTAATAAAGTGTAATGTGTTTTTAATTTTAACATGAATTTCAATTAATGAACTCTTATTTTGCACCAACATTACACATTGCCAAATTGTTTCAGTCTTTTGAAAACCAAAATGATTCTAGAAACTGTACCTGATTACAGGACAATACAGTGGAATCTTTTCTCTCATATTAAAATGGTTTCTGCCATGTAAAACTCAAATAAGAGGAAAAGATTTCTTCAAATCACTTATACAAAGATGAAGCTGTTTATTTCATCATCAAATCTGAAGCTTAGTTTTTCTGGGTATACAATTTTTGGTTGGGCTGGGGATGTGGCTCAAGTGGTAGCACGCTCGCCTAGCATGCGTGGTCAGTGGAGTTTGTGAGTGTTACGCAATTTGAGATAAATTTTTAAAAAATTATCTGTTTACCATATTCAGGAATTCAAAATGAAAAATATTTGTCTTTGCAGGATCTACAAGTGGTCATGGTTAGTGGTACTCTCTTCAGTAAAGACAGAGTTTCTCACAGCCCCACAACCTAATGGCCATCGCATAGGTGGCATCTCCCTGATGCTGTTGCAGGATCCTCCTCATGTGACCAGTGCTACACTAGCCCAGGGTGTTCCACGTTGCAACCCAGGTTGTAACCTTGAGAGTCCAACACCACAAGGTGACTGGTGAATGCTAGCCCTGGTTCTCTACTCCCTAAGAGACATGATGTCCACGTAGGCTACCATCAGGGCTATAGACTTACTTCTGAACTGCTCCAACACTCAGACAGATCTATAGGCAAAGACACCATAGGTCCTCACTAGGACCTCTCCCTGACCCCAGCTTCTGCAGAAGTAAAAAAAAATGCTGTGGGTTTTTTTTTTGAAGCCCATTTCAGGGATCTCTCTGCATCAATGGAATGGATCTCTGAACATGGGAAGATGAAGAACCAAGACTATGGTGGGGTATGGACTATGTCCCTTTTGTGACTTGTGTCTCTGACTTAACAGTATAGGCCTAAATAGATTCAAATCTGTGTTTTTAGAAAGAGGAGCACCTCATATTCCTTCAAGAAGCAGAACATGTAATCAGTGCTGCAGAGTCTATCCAGCTCAAGCCCAGCCGTGGGTGCTGTTTCCTCAGGAAAAAGGAATGCTTTCCATCAGGTGAAGCAACTGCCAAGCTTCATTCAGCCTGGCAGAGCCTATGCACTCATGACTAGAGTCCTACAATCACATGACACAGCAACAAATTGTCCCATAGGACTGTGAAGGGTTATGTGACAACCAAAAGGATATGAACGTAGAGTTCTAGTTTAGCATCACATTTAATTGATACCATCACGACGCAAACCAATATGACTCTTTCACACTTCCTTGGGTCTCACAAGGGTTGATTCAGAAAGTTAAAGGTTATTAATGCTCTTCGTTTCCACAAATCTCTTGGATTTAAATTGTTCACTTTTAGCTTTTGGATTGTTTCTTGCCCTCCACTTTCATAGCATTTCTGTGTCTCATTCAAAACTATGATTTTACCTACATTTTTGTGTTACCGTGAATTTATTTAGATATTGTTTCCAGAAGAGCCAGGTAAGATGAGAAAGAACACTTAATAAAAGAGCTAATTTTGAGTCCCACCTGTTACCTGGGCTGCCACTCAGGTCAGCGAGGTGTTCTTAGGGAAAGAGAGACATGTGGGAGAGAAATTGGCAGATTGAGTTCTCCAATTTGGTATATAGTTTATATAAATTCCCAACAGTTCTCTTTCCTAGAGTGGGTCAAATTGAGATAATCTTTTATGAGTCAGGGTTCAAATTGTCAAGAGCCTAGTAATGAAATAGTAAATGACATTCACTTCAGTATAACTAGAGGTGTGCTGATAAGATAGGTGTCAAAACCGCATCACAAGGGGCGTTTGAGTTGGAGATTGCTGCATTTGCTAGAGGGTACCATTGAAGAACTCATGTTTTCCATGGGCACTAAGAGAATTTAGCCTAAGTATCATTCAAATCAGAGTGTTCCATTAACCTTCACTTAAAAACAGGATTCTCTATCATGTTCCATTTCATCATATTTCTTCTCTCAGGAGACTGTTGATTACATCTAACACACAAAGAGTGAGCCTGGCCTCTGGCTTTAAAACAAGAAGAGCACAAAATACCTACCAGATTTTGGAGAGGAGAGGTAGGAGGAATGCGGGATCAAGAGTGAACCCCCTCAGGAGAGCATGCCAATGGAATTCCTCACTAAAGATTCTCTACCTGCTCCTCTCCCAGACCAATGCTCTCTCCATGCTTGCTCCTACTGTCATCTGAATGCAGGGAACTATTTCAGATGGGAATGTGGGCCCTGGTGAGCAACAACAGTATAAAGAATGGAATTTCACCCACACCCCCAACATCTCAAGCAGATTCAACATTTTCTATGGAGCTGTAGATATGTATGTATGTGGAGAGAGGGATTAGGGTGCAGAGGGAGTGAACTTCCTGCTACCAAGAACAGCACCAACAAGCCACATCACCTTTTACTTTTCAGCAGCCTGTTTACTACTCTGATTGCATGCACATAATGATGAAGGTCTTCTGACTAACTCAAGGTATCACATCAGCTCTGGGTTATTCTTTTGCTTTGCTTTCAATGAGAGAAAGATTCATATTGTAATGCAGATTCATGTTGCTCATTTTAATCCTCCCTCTCACACAATGAATTCATTAACATGCCCAAGATGTGAGAGGTCTTGCTCTTACTTTAAACGTGGGTGAGATAGTTGGCTACTTATCTCATGGATCCTGCTCATAACCACAACAATGTATGTGCATAATATGTCTTCTTACAGAAAGCTTCAATTCTCTTAGCATCTATCATAAGCAACAAAGAAATAAAACATCATAAGTCTTAAGATTTGCTCTCTGAAGATTGCTCAAACGGAACGACTCCTGACTCATCTTTTCGCTGACACCACTCGTCCTTCAGGACTCCCTGGACCCCACCGGGGCAGGACCCCGGCAATTTGCCCTTTCCAAAAGTCAACAAGGTAGCCTGTTAATTGAATGTATACTGGAGGAAGGCATGAGATGAATGAGTCTGTGAGGAAATAGCTCACTGTACATTGCACAGATGAAAGTAAGGGCTTTGGACTTGGATGTTTGCTCATGTTCACCTGAAGTGACAAAGAGAAGATGTGAAGAGGAGCAAATCAAAGTTTTATCCACAAACAATTGCATTATCATTGAGGAATCAAAAGTTTAAGAACTATCAGTTGGGCACTGCTGCAACCTACACAGCTAAACCCACAAAATGGGAGAGAGGTGATGGGGGATTAAGAAACACACACAAACATTTAGAGAATGCTGGGAACACATGGGACATGACCACTGATGGAGGAATGGTTACCTCAATGTAGCACTGCACGTTTGATATATAGGATTTCATATCCAGGAAGTTAACACTATAAGTGCATTTTTATTTGTACACTAAAAAGGTACAGAGATAGAAACATTTTTATAGCTATTCTACTGTTGCAGTGATAGAATTATTATTGCACTGCAGTGCTGTTATTATTCTGCTGTACCCTTTTCAGAGTTTCTGAAAACCAGGCAAGTTTGGAGGTTGCAGTGCTTGATAGATATTGTGGT